TTCTAAGAATCCCACTGATTAGCTTTCCTTCAAACAAATTAGAAACAAATACACACAAGTTATAAGATGTTCCAAAATAAGCATTAATTCTGGTTGTGTGTATGATTGATTGATACTGTACTGAATAACGATGCTGATTCAGTTGAGCTTCATGCAACCAAGATCTAGATTTTTATAAAACAGTCAGTTACTCAATAGTATACACCAACTAAACTTTAAAACTGACAGTCATACATCTGCTGGTCATTAAGGTATTGGACCATATTTTTATAAACCTTAATGACTGCCTAAACTTGATCCACTTATTTAATCTCTTTTCCAACTGCTAAAATCCCAGTGGACTCTCTCTGTTTCTGTTCTTTGTTTCAAAGGGGGTGATAAGTCAGATGCTAATTGATTTAGACCTAAGCACATTTTGCCTTTGTAGGATAATGGAAAAAATGTTACCAAGCACTTTTTAGACAACAACTAGTTTTCATTTTTGGCATGGATTCATTATAGCGCTTTTGAAAATTGTCAATGAAATTAAAGGTGTTTTTAAACAGAAGTTTAGAAGGATGTCAAATTCCTAATCTTGACTACTCTCTTGAATGCATAAATATGTCACCGAATTCGATAGAGACCTTTGTGGATGAGGACCAGACAAGATTTAGAAACAATAAACTAAGAAGAAGACATTCATTTATATAGCACCTTTAAAAGTAACTTCTCAAAGCATTTTGTAGTAAGATTTGTAGCAAATGAAAATAAAAAGGTATCAAGGAGAAAAAAGGTAACTAAATTAGCACAATTAAAAACAAGGGTTTAGAATGCAGAAGAAGATGCAAGGGGGCAAACATATGGCTCTTCTTCTGAAGAAGAAGGCTTTGAGTAAACGTACGCATAATAAGTAGGGTTCCTTAAGGGCAGTGCTAGTACCCCTGGGATGCATTACCTGTGTAGAGAAATTATTCTCACAGTCTGGCACTGATTTTGCAATAGCAGTGGATGTCCTTTTTGTTATTTAGAAGCCAGAGCTACCTCCCTAAGCTAATGTGTCTCTATTATTCTGTAGTCATTTACAAAAAGTCTTTGAGGGAATGAGTGAGGGTAGCTTTGAAATGCAGAAGATCTGCATTCTTTCTGGGACTCACATCTTTGTACATAATTTGCAAACAGTTGTTTATGTGTTAGCTCGCAATCAAGTCTTATAAATAAGAGAAACAAAGAACCCATGTAATCTACTTGGTTGACCTCTATTCCTGACAATAGAGGGTATGTTATTGGGTAAAATGGCATTGAAAGTGTCTTTCACGTTATGTAACACCTCTGCTTTTGTAACAAAAATCACACACATAGATATCCACTTAATATTTTAATAACAGTAGTATTTACAGATTTATATATTTATATTTAAGGCTTTTAATACTGTGAATCACTCAATCCTTCTTAAAACGTTGCCTTGTGTTGGTCTTATTGTGAACCCTTGCATGGTTTATGAATTCCCTCCAAAGTTGTATACATTGTGTACAATCTCGCAGATTTGTTTTAAAGCCTCTGATATTAAAAGATTCACAATAGGTTCTGCCATTGGATGTATTCTTTTTCCATCTCTATTAATAATATTGCTCAGGCAATAGTAAAGGCTACTACATACCTCTATGTAATGACTAACCAGCAATTTTGTTTCAATACAATTCAGCCAGCATTTTGTAAAAATCTTATAACATTGTACGATATTTATTCATAATCATTCTAACTGCTCCCTAAATTATGAATGCAAACTTTTTTCTTTAAGAAAAACAAAAATAGAGCAATTTACTTTTTATAAATATGTAGGCATAAAGCCGTATAATGCATTAGCTTTCAAAACTCATTTTAGTCAGTTTCAAGCTCAAGTACATATTTTGATTCCTTTATCACAGCACATCTTATTTAAATGTTTCTCTAGGTATGACTTTTTTCATACAGTCTGTCTGTCCTCACCATCTTTGACAATAATGATTTTGTTTATAAAATTGCCTCCGTGGGTGCTCTTGAGAAACCTGATATCATATACTATTATGCCATAGGATTTATTACTGGTGATCCCCATTATACTCACCACTGTCATTTTTATTTTTTGATTGATGGGCCCTCTCTATATACTAAATAAATTCTCGAGTGGCTTAAAATAATTTACATATCTTCAAAGGGGAAAACATGGTCCTTTCTTAATAATAATTTATTGCAGTTCCTTCCTACAATTTAAGTTTATCAAACGGAACGTCCCCAGAGCAACACTGGACTTTGAGTGCAAGTAATTTGAATTATCTGCTGCTAATGACTGGAACATTCAGCACAGTAAGCTGAAACTATTCAAATTCATATTTGAGGCTGTTTTCAGTTTTTATAATTAAATCTTTTCTGCCTGACACTTGTACTTGTTAACATTGCTACATCCTAGGACGTCATGTCATGTTATGCTATTTACTTTTAATTGATCATCTTTCTTTCGCTGATTTATTTTCTGTGCAACACTGGTGCAAACCTCTTAGCCAAGTCATTATTATGAATGATAATTTAATCTCACCCAACATACTGTATCTAGTTAAATAAAAGAATATCATCATTTACTTGTGATATCCAAACATATTTAGATTCTTAATTAACCATTTCCTTTCTGTCATTTCTAGTCTCTTGATTTTGCTGATCTCCATAGGCCTTTTAGATCAAAGGTTATCTCATTCAGCTAGCACTTTTACAATCAGACAAGACCTTTTTGCATCTAACAAGTTCCCCGTAGTGGCATGATCTGCATGAATAAAAAGACAACAACCCTTTCTCAATTCATGCTGCCCTAAGATTTTTAATAGTCGCCATGTATCACAATGAAATTAATAATTCATTTCAGAAAGATGTCTTGTAATGTTAATGCCAAACGTGGGCTAATGTATGATATTACTTTCATTACAAAAATACCAAATGCTTGCTTTGTCACATACCTTAGGACCTTGTCTTCCTGGGTAACCGGGCAACCCTGGAACTCCAAGCTTCCCCTAAAGAAAATTGATTTTATATATGACAAAAGCATATACATTTTTGTACAATTATTTAAAAGAGGCAGTGTCTTGCGCAGCTTGCTGGCTGTCCTATCACTTCTTCTTCATACCGCTTAACAACAGTGATATTGGAGGATATCAGAACTCTTCAGGGCAGTTGGCCAAGTAGGCAACATCGTAAAACACATCCAGATGAGAACAACAGGCTTGCTGATGCAGTGTGATAATCTTTATATGCTCCTGGCTGCACTTTTGTTGAATATAAAGAGATGCAGGAAAATGGACAATTAAAGGGTTCATACTGACCTTTTCCCCTGCAGGACCGTTAGGACCAGACTCTCCATTAGGACCAGATCGGCCTTTTGGACCTTCAGGGCCATCTTCACCTCTGGGTCCCAATGATCCAACTTCACCCTAGAAATTAAGAGTACCATCACTATTAATACCAGGTCCCAGATCATGAAGAATAAAATAGATGTATTTCATCCTGTAATAAAACCTACAGATTCAACATCTCTGAATGCTCTTTTGCCCCCAATTTTGTAGATAAAGATATCACTGCAAAACCTAGATTTTAAAGGTTTGACTCAGTGTTTCACTCCATAGTGACCGAATATGTCAATATTATTCGTTCTGTTGTCCAGAGTTCCAAAGTAAGGTAAAACATATGGAACTGTATGTTTGTAAGTAATAAGTAAAAAAAATCATTTTGGAAGAAGTAAAATCAGGAAGGCACTTCACTGAACTCCGGTAGATTGGCACAGTACACACATGCATAGCATCTGTAATATACAGCAAGTTTCTTGGTGCTACTCATAACATAACACTTACCCTGTCTCCTTTGAGACCCATATCTCCTTTGAAACCAGGGAACCCATCTTCACCCTGAAATAAGACGTTAAACATAATAAATTAAACCAATGGAGCTGTTGGGAAAATGATCAATAGACTTTTGCTCTTATATTAAATAGATCAAAGCTCTTAAAAACACTTTATGTAATATAGGGAAATGTGCAAACTATATAAACTACAGGTTCATCTATTTGTACCTAATAGTGGAATTACAATCTTATCACAAGATGGAAAGAATTACATGTATAACAATATATCATCACCACATTGCGTACAGTTGTGAAATGCATTATTCGGTAAAACCTCACATGATGTTACGAAAAGAAAGACATGTGTTTACCAAAAAACAGGGAGGAATCCAGTTCTATTCAATTTTGCAGAGGCATAAATTTCTCTCAAATTGGTTTGATTGAAAAGGCAACCAATTAACAATTCCACATTGTCAGCAATAAAATTAAACAGTTTGCAACTCCTGATTTAAGATGTTTAATTCAGTGTAAGAAAATGTATAGTACAATTACATGAAGTACATATTATTGTGATTATTGCTAAAGCCTGGTGAGAGAAAAAGCAATTAGTCCTAAATTCTAAATTAGTCCTAATTAGTTCTAAAGCAAAATTATTATTTCTATAAATCTATGACATATAATTTAAAAGAAAAATGATTGTGTTTTAGACATTGGCCAAACCGATTACCTTAAAAAAAACCTTAAAAAGGAAGCAAGTTTTAACATAGCAAGAACCATTGAATGACCAAAGTAATTCAGCATTAGTAAAAAACATTTCAAAATACTTTATTTTGAAAGCATTAAAGCAGCAGTTTAATATATTTTACAGTTATATACAGTATACTGTAGCAAATGTCTTAAAGTCTTGAGAATTTTGAGATCTCATGTAAGTTTCAAAGCGTGCTATCAAAGGTAGGAATGTTAATCATTTTAATGCATTCTTTTTCTGTAACCTCTATGATTTACAGCCAGAATAATGCTGGTTTTTCAGTGTTGTATAAGGTGGTATATACAAAATGAATTGATCTATTAGGTACAGGATTATAAGTTCTGTTCATAGAATACTTTTATTTATCTGAATGCACAAGCACGTATATTTAAATATGAATATAAATCTTATCAAGAAGGCAATAACACTACTCTACAACAGATACAGTATCTATTCCACAATTTCAATTTCAATAATATCATACTAAAGTTTAAACATCACCATTCTTCTGATGACCAAACAAGATAAATGGGCAATTAATGATGTTCTTAATCACTGTTTATTTATTCAGTGTGAACATTAGAGAGCTTACAATTAAGCTACTGACTAATCCCTTTGATGCACCACTAGTGCACAGTTCAGATTAATGTGACGAACATACTTTCTCAAGCAAAATAGACAGAAATAAGCAACCATCATATCAATAGGATACCTGCAAGAAGGCTTATCTAGTCTTATTTTACTTACATATTTATATAACAAGCTGAGTTTTTATTTTATGTTCCAATGTTCGAATTCTAATTAAATTAACAACCAGGTACAACAAATTTCAGAATGTATTAGGAAGTCCCAACTTAACTAGCCATAAAAGGCCCAGCATTTCAAGTAGAAATGTTCATGTTTTTCCCTCTGACATTCTTTCAGATTCTTGAATGCTTTTAGACCTCTCCTCAAATATCACAGCTAGTCCTCACTGTTGTGTAGGACCAATTCTATATCAGTCTAACAAATGTCTTCCACACACATCTTAAATTATCTTGTAAGACTCACTCCGTGAGTGCACTGACTTCATTGATCTATAAAGCTCCACAGTGCTGGAGTATTAAGAAGATAGATCTGCTGAGCTTTTGGTGGGTTATCTTAAGGTTTCTATAATATCTGGTTACAATAGTGTAACACAAGCAACAAAAAACATTACTTTCTGAATTCAACAAAGCATATAAATGCTGGAAGATTCACCACATTTCTGGAGTCTCTTGAATTAGGGTAATTAAATCTAAACATCTAAACATACAGCTTACTGTAAATATAGGATTTACATACTGTACATATAATCAAATCTTTCTCAGCTTTTACTGATGACATATATGTATTTACAATGTAGCTGAAGATAAATATCTTTACCTTTTCACCTTTGCCACCCTTTAGTCCACGTACACCATCAGCCCCCTATTAAAGAAAAGATGAAATAGTTATTCAGAAATAATGGAAGTTTAACATGTAAAGAAAATAATGTTTATGAATTACCTTTACACCACGAGGGCCAGGATAGCCAATGGGGCCTTGAGGGCCAGTCGGTCCCTGGAAATAGAATTAATTGATTAAGCATGGGAAAAACAGAATAAGACAAATACAAAAAAATGACTCTTTAGTAATCACACTACGAGTCTGCCTCAGTAATGAATCTTACTTATTTTCTCCAATATCTAGGCTGCTATCAGCTCTTTTAGTTCTATTTCTTTTTAATGATCCATTTCAACAAATGACAGCAAAAGGGTTGAATACCTTTGTGATTCATGATAGTCAAGAAATCATCCTTAGCATAAAATGCCCATTAAATAACAAATAAAGTGCATTTCAATTTTTCTGAAATTGAAATGGCAATATTTTTTTTACAAATTGATTATTTGAATTCAGAAAATGATCATGAACATATCATTTTCACTCATTATACAAGGATATATAGGTTTTATCGATACATAGAAACAATCCAAATATGAGTGTGAGGAATACTCATTGAATTATAGTTATAAGTGTCTATAATGCAATGGGATTGCTTTCGTATTAATACTACCATCTGTTGTTTTGTGTAATAATGTTGTGCTACCTCTTAATAAAAACCACCAAGTCTGCTAAGGTTGTTTATCATCTTAAATAGTTATGAAGTTAAACAAGTTGCTGGATTTGAAACACATTTGTGAAAGGCAGAAAACTGTTCTGTTTCTTTCAGTATATAATACACCTACAGGCCTTTCTCACATCTCAAGATGTGAGAGAGCAAGAATCTCAGTCTGGAAATGGAGAACTAACACTAAAAACATTATTTAAACACCCAAACCCAAGAATTCCAAAATTACATATTGAGCTTTTATAACTCCTTCATGGCTGGCTATATACACAGGCATACTGTATATTCCTGTATTTTATTATTAGCAGTAGTCTTCTTTATGTTCATTTTTACAATTTCACAAAGATTTAAATTAAATATTTAACTTACCTGGGTACCTTTTTCACCTGGTGGTCCTTCTTTACCTGGGTGGCCCTATGAAGGCAATGATTGTAATGTAAATGTTAATTTAGTGTGGAATTAAATGTGGAAGTAGTATGTGCAAAAAATATATATTTTTTTCTCATTTTAAACAAAAATACCAATTTATTTATAATAACCTGCTTGGCACCAAAGTATATGATAAAAAGAAGAGTTATTGTGACAAGACCTATTGCATGTATTTATTTTAGGTGTGATTGCTAGGTGTTTATTAAGTCAGATATCTCTGTAACTACTGAACTGCGGCAGCTTTTCAAAAGGACACTGGAGTGACGGAGAATTAGAGTCAGAGCTGTGCTAATGATCACATCAGGAATGCAGGCACACAGACTTCCCTCTCCACTGTGAAAAATCTCTGGAAATATCTTTTTGGCTGATGTCAGATAATTACTTTGTTCAGTATATAGGGCAACTCCAAAACTGCATGACAGGAGTAAAACAATGGCATAAGAAAAATTGCGACAGACAGGGATGCTTTTAAATCATTTTATGTACCACTCAGAGCAATACGTGGTCATCTTCACTGATAAATGACGCACATTTCCAAGACAGTGATCCTGCTGCAGAGATTTTGCTAAAGACTCTCTTACTGTAAAACACCCATCCACCTGACCCTTTTTTCTCATGGTTCAGATTAAAAGCTGTTCCAAAAATCTGAGCCTCCATGCGAGCACAAAGTACTTTCTAATACTCTAGAAGCAAGGCATAAAAGAGGGCTGACAATCATTGAACACCAATGATGAACGAAGAGTTTTTAACCTGTTTCAAAAAAACGTGTTTATAATTTCTAGCTTACCTATAGCTTTGTGGTTTTATAACCTTATTTTGATTTTAAAGCTCATCCTTCTTTTGCCATCTAGTGGCTGATTTGATGGAGTGCCACTGATTCAATGCTAATAAAGAAAAAGGCTGCAGGCCTGTAACATTTCTGAAATCTTTTCTTTAAGGCTGTAACAAACCTGGCAAGGGTGAGCAGAAAATGATAACTTCAAAAATATATATGCTTGAATTGCTCACAATGTACATTATTCGATTACCGAAAAGGGGAGAAATATGAAATGAAGGCTGCAACAAGACTTACTGGAGGTCCATCAGAGCCAGGCAAGCCAGGAAGACCTGATCTGCCTTGAGGTCCCTGATCAGAGAGATCACATATCAAAGGTTAAATGTCACAACAACAGCTGAGTACTTTTCCAACACTGTCTTTAGCATTGACACCCAGGGGAATACAAATAGTACAAATAGTGTGCTGGAATTATGATTTGTTGTGAGGCATAACACGATAAGACATATAGTAGCTCAGATAAGCAATATATTCTTATTATGCTTGCTTTTTATGATGTGTCCCATTTAACTTTGTACAGTATGTCTGATTCTGAGTATTCTGCCACCCCTGGGATGTCTTCCTGTAACACTAGCTAGTTCACCACAGCCAAGATATGTATGTGATCACCTACTGTAGCAACAATTTAAGTCTTAAAAACTGAAGAGCCTTGTTATAAATTCTCTATACAAAGTTCCGCTGCTTGTCATTTAAAGTAAGAGAAAATTCTATGATTCATGAGATCTTACTTTTTCACCAGGTGGTCCAATAGGGCCTTGAGGACCAGGAAGACCCTATATGACAAAAGAGAACAGAATGTTATGTTTTGCTACTATCATGCAAAAGCACTGAAGAAAGGCACTGTACACAGTAAAATGGCAGTCATAAAAGGTAACATCATTTAATGGTGTCAAACATTCATAAAATAAATTCTCAGATGTAAAGCTGTTTTTTTTTTTCTTTTTGCAGAAAGGCCTCTACACTGGCATGCAGACAGTAACCTGATCCTGCTCACAGCCACAGCAGGTGTGGCTCGATTAGAATTCCAGCCACATGAATGCAATGCTTTCAGTTTCTTCCTTCATGACAAGAAACTCACAGCATTCAAGGAAATTACACTGTATTCCCTGGTGAGGAGGAATCAGAGAAATGATCAAGGTTCCTACTTACAGGTGTGCAAGCCCCCCCTCCAAAAAAACTCTTCTACTTAGACAGAAACTTTTTTTTAACACTTACTTGTGGGCCTGTGATGCCCTGCTGTCCGGGAGGCCCCGGCTCACCTTGAGGTCCCTAAATAAAGACAGAATTATTTTTAAAAACGTGAAACCATTTCTCTTCCATATGGTTTGGATGGGTCTTTCTGGTATTGCATAGAGGCAAACGCCTATTTCTGTTTAAAAAATAATAAAAATGTTTAAAAATAAAAAATAAAAAATATCATATCAATATATATTCAGCAACAAATAAAAAATGCCTGTTTTTTTTCTGCAATAGTAAAACTTGTTAAGTAAATACAGTTATTTGAATAGATTTATACAGAGATTAGGAAGAATATAATATAAACATGTGTATTATAAAATAATATTTTAAGACAAGAGATCTGAAAAAGGAAACAACCAATTTCTTTCTCATATTTCCTTCTTATGTATGCATACAAATTATTCTTTTAAATGATCATGAATTATTACTTCTGAGTAATGCATTAAAAAATAAGTACATCTGTAATGTGTCAAAACACGAACATACTGTACAATAGCACTTTGCTCTTTTACCTATTTGGCATATACCCAATCAAGAATATGGCAGTGAAGTATAAGAATGCAACAAGTTACTTGTAAATTTTAAGAATGATTTTAGCTACTTAAATCAAATCTGAATGTAGAATTTAGCAGCTGATTTGTAATGTTCTAAGCATTATTCTTAACACAAAACAGCAACCTGAAAAAACATAATATTTGTGAATATGCCAGGAATATATGATACATGTTAGCCAACTGCATCCAACAGGTAAAATATTTAATGTGAGTCACATAAAAGTGACTTGGCAAAGTGTTTTTCCAACTCTGTATGATTCCCACTACTTAGGGAAAAACAGTGGAGCTCTTTGCCAGTCTAGACTAAGCTATTAAATCTGCCTGCAAAGGCTAGTTGATGATAGTCATTGTGCATGGTGTGTTTGTGACATGTTAAAATGGGCCACAGGGAAGAGCATCAGTTTCACTTCATTGTGTTCTGAGCTGTACAGACCTTTATAAGTCAGGAGAAGACAAATGTCTTCATGCGTCTTTAACCTCTGGAGGCTACATATCAGTAAAGTATGATGTTTAATAAAGAAAACTGAAAACCAGGTCTTACCAATGCAAGCTCAGGCATTTGATAATGTGCAGCTTTTTTTTAAATATCATTCTGTTGGGTTTTACAGGTAAAACTGTAAAGTTAATTAAAAAATCATAAAAAATCTTTCCATACCATGTTTCCTTTTGGACCTGAAGGGCCATCCACGCCTGCAACACCCTGTGGAAAAACTCATTTTAATAAGTATAGTCTATTTTAAAAGTAAGGTTTTAGGAAATTTGGATTCTGGAATGCATACAGTGTGAAAAGAAAATGAGTAATCAACATACAGGCTGCCCAGGGGGACCAGGTGGCCCTCGTGGTCCGAGCAATCCTCTTGGACCCTAGGTGAAAACATACAAAAACAGGTGAAGTCAAGTCAGACCTCTGCACAAATAGTGAATGGTGAAGTGTTTCTTTTTTATGATACAAAATCTCAGTCTATCATCTGCAACAGGCGGCGATAAAAGACAAAATTTATCCAGACTGTCTGATACTGTAAAACAATAAGCTAGCAATCAAAATGTTATTGTACAGACTGCCAAACTGTCAGACGTATGATGTACTGCCTCAGAGCCTTAAAAAGAGTTGTACTGTATCACTGTTGCAAAAACCCTCCTGATTTCCATTTCATACCTTAGTGACTATGTTTATTTTATGCTGTAATTGCTCTGGGCATCATTTAATTTTTGCAATCAGCTTCTCCAAAATAATTTGTATCATCCCCTGTCTAAATACACTGCAGAATTTCAGAGCTTAAATTTGCTGTGCTGATATCAGTCCAACATCCTTATTTTTTGTACTTGATTTACCTAAAATGCACTGATTTTACTTAAATGGACTGTGCTGTATTATCAACTTTACTTACTACATGTTGTGTACATTATGTACTTCATATTAAATATTTTTTTCTCATCACTTTTCTGTAAGTTTACTGGTTACTGTGTACATAATGCACACCTACCATTAACAATAATAACAGCACCTGCTCACATATAAAAATGCTACTGATTTTGTTAATACATTTTGTGCTTGTTCACCACCTGATTGATGTGCAGAATTAAAATCCTATAGCACATATAATATTTATTTTTTGTATAATTGTGTAAGATTTCTATAATTCTGTATAAATTAAAATCTGAAATGACTATGGCTTTTGACTGCTGTGGAGATAATGAAAGAATGATGGAGGGATTAGGTTAGCGTAAGGGAATCACATTTTAATCAAGCTACTCTGCCATCTTGTGGTTTTATACAGGCAAGTGCACTGCATCAGAATTAATTAACTCTCACCTAAAATACCTCATGTATTTCTATTCTGTAGTTTGAAACTTACATTGATGTGTTTTCTTTTAGTTACCTTCTTTAATAATTCTGATTCACAATATTGACTCTCTTTTTACAAATGATGAAGCTTTTTTAATATACATGTAACAAAAAGGTAATAATTTATTTATTATCCATTGTACCATATTTTAAATCCTCTCTATAACATTTATAATAAAGTGACCATACTAAATACTATGTTTAGTGCAGAAAAAATACTAAAGACATATTAAAAATACTCCCTCAAATCCCTATTACATTACAAAATAAGCATAGAAAAGAATAAAGAATTTGTGAAACAAGCTAAGAAAATGGTATCCATCTAGATACTAATTTCATTATAGGCAATCACAATGACTTAACAACTAGGGTATGAGGGCATATGATATTCTTCAAAGAGTTTTAAAGGATTTCCTTAAAACTTTAATCATAGATTGTCAGTAGCAATGATATACTAGGGTTCACACTAATTTTTAAAAGTGTGAAATTGTCGGTAAAAGTTGTTTTTCATCTTGAATACAATTCAGAACTGAGATTGTCATATGCATCCCTTAGAAAAAAACAGATTCCTGTATCACCAGGTAAGGTCAAATGTTAAAAGTACTTTTTCTGCCACAGCTATTAAATGCTAAAACAGCCAGCTCTCTTGGGCATGAAATTAGTTTCAGACAGTAGAATAGCAGCATAAATAAAAGGATCAACATTTTAAGCTTGAACTGTCTTCCAGACAAAATAAACATGTGCCTGTTTAGTAGCTAGACACCAAGTACAAAAGTGACCTTTTTTAAAGAAGATGAAAATCCTTACACTCTCTCCTGCAAGACCCCTTGGTCCAATCTCTCCATCGTCACCCTGCAGACCAAAAGGAAATTGTTAGCTGTCTAACACACAGAGAAGTTGGCATCAATAATTATGAGCAAATTAGAGAGCAGACTGGCTCACTCTTTCTCCATCTTCACCAGGAGAACCAGGAGGGCCAGGTGGACCTGTTTCTCCCTGTAACGCACAAAGGAAGATGTGTTATTATGATGTTTACCAGATTAGATGCACAGTATTGTTTAAACTCACACAGCTATTTCTAGCAGTCCTTTTGAAAGTCTATATCCCTGCTCTGTACACCCATGTCCTGTAATTTGAAAAGCCCAGGATTAAGAAGTTTGAAGTGACCAAAAATACCTTTCTTGTGATCTAATGTCTTGAAGACCTGGGTTCCAAGCAGTATGAGCCCTCCAAATTTAGGCAGAGATTACCACTTTCACTTTTGAAAATAGTCAAATGTAGGAATATGAATCTTTTCCATTTCATTTTCCATTTTTAAATAGCCAGTTATTTATACATAATATACCCATCCAATGTAAAATTGCCAAATGTCTCTTTATGTGTTGGCTCACAACTATAAACCATGTACCCACAAGAGGAGAATTTGGAAGTGCAGACAGGCTCCTCTCACCCACCCACTCATCTTTTGATAGGCTACAGTGTCTGCAATAATGTCAAATTCAGACCAAACTAGAGGAGAAGTGTGCCCCCTACTGATGTCATTGCAATCCTGCAGGAGCTTGGAAAACTGTTTCACTTTAAATCAAAAGAGGCCCAAATGAGTAATTCTAATGTTACTCCCAGCTGTACTGAGCCAATTGTAGGGAAATCCCAAAACATCTTAATATCTCATCAAGGATATATTTAGAACACACGACTGATAAAGAAATGGTTCATATTTCTTAAGTAGTAAGTAGAAGTCAAAACAAAAACGGAATTTTTAAAATATTCTTGATTCAAGCCTGTAACAATGGAGACTTTCAGTAATAATTTGACTAAGGATTGCAAATTCTGTTTCTAAATTATTTCTAAACCTCTAACATTGAATACATTTGTTAGAGTTTACCTCTGCTAATGTTTATTTAAAGTGTATCAACCAATATTTACATATTAAAATAGTTTATTAATGCACATTTCAGTGTTAAAACTTGTTTGCTTAGCATTTAAAATAACTTTTAGGCACTTTTCTGCGCTTAAAATATTTCAAATATTCTAACATAAACTGTGATATACTAATATTTTTATGATTTACTTCTGACATCCTCATATGACATGCTTTTTTAAGGCTTTATCAAACTAAAGGCAATATATATATATAAATTCCAGCTTTAGATTCTCATTATATTTTTTCTAACATGAAAAATTATAACTTTTTGTTTTTAAGAATCACATTTCCCAGGTTCTTCAAGTGACACTTTGAATCTTTGTTTAAAATATCATACACGTTTTTAAAAAAGCCCTGTGAGGTTGTATATTTGCAGTAAATTCCATACATCCCCCACCTCCAAAAGGCAAAACAAATAAGTGCCACCACACACTCTGGTGCATCATACCTTTTAAATTGTAAAACTCTGGACTTCCTTTTGAATATGACATTTTTTGGACGGGCACTAAAAACTGAGCTCTTCTTTACTCAATGGGCTGTGGGAGTATGGAATAAGCTACTCATCTATGTTGTTTAAGCTGCCACCCTGGCTTTTTTCAAGTAATGGCTGGATGAGATCCTTGAATCAATTAGCTATTAACTACCAAACAGGCTAGATGGGCAGAAAGGCCTTCTTTCATTTGAAAGCCTTTTTTATGTTCTTATTCATCAAATCCTTCCCCAATGTAACCCTGCACTGACCAGAAGAAAAGAAGATAAAGCTGTCATAGACATAGCACTGTGAAACCTATTATACAGTTTTGTACAGGAAATGCAGAACAGAAGCAGTCAAGCATTACAGCCATCCAGCTGCCTCTAGGTCCAGTCTGTGATTTAAGTTGAGGATTCCTCACTAATATCTATCCAGTTCAGCTCTGGAAGCTATTAATGATTGTGTTTCTATGCACTGTAGCTATTTTCACAAAAACACTGTCCTGCTGAAATGCTGTCAATATGGACACCAAAAACCTATAGACGACAAAACTATAGAGTAATACAGTACATGTATTCGTAACAAATATTTGTTTTCAAAACTTCCATCATTGGTTCTGTGATGATAAAAAACATGGCAGAACAGCAGAAGGCTACTCGTTAGTTTGCAGCAACTATTGTGTCACAGGAAAAGAATTAGACACCATGCGTGCTTCTGTTTTATTGATATTTTTAATGCATTAAATTTGAATTAAAAAAAAAATCAACCTTTCCATCTATTCAAAAATTATAAACCTTGTGCTTGATGGCAGCTTTTGGTTTCCAGAGGGCTCATTTTTCTATCCAGTGGAAAGCAGTCATGAAAGCCTGGGTTTGTAATTAGCAATTTGTGGGAGGGTCAAATGGTTTAAGGCTTAATCCATCTTTAAGCCTTAGTATTTCAGGAAGACGTAAATTTAGAATTTGACATACAGATCATTTGTAAGCAAAGTACATTTTTTTTTGCTGTGTGCAATTAGTTACTATTGTCAACTTTGGATATATTGTGCTTTCAAAGGTTTTCAACTTTACTTCATGACAAAGCTCAGCTACACCATGGCTTTCTAATATAAATACCAAACAATTTCAATACATCCAAGTTTCTTTTCTTTTCTTCAGTCTTGGCTTGGAATATAGCATGGAAATCATTGTTCCCTTTGATCCCTTCTCGTAGAAGACTATTATCTAAATTTGTCATGCAGTTTGTATGAAAATACTTATTTTCAAGGCTGCTTAGCTGTTCTGAGAAGTAGAAATTGGTTCAGATAGTTATGTGCTGCCTTTATAATGCTTATCATTATATGTTATCACAAAAGTATATGATGAAATACTGAAATATTTTCAGTTTCCTATAAGATCATCTGTTTTCTTCATTTTGTTTTCTCAAGCTAATATGGATAGTCAAGGCTAAATTGTATTACTGAAAGCAACTTTATACTCCTTAACCAGTAAAACAGAAGTCATTTTGTTCTCCAAGTCCCAATTTGGAATGTAGAGCTCATGTAAGAATACACATGAGAGTTTTTCAGCACTGTAAATTTATTTAGTCCACAAAATAGTTTTGGTTATTTCATCCTTGCTGTTCAAATAGAAAGAGTGCTGTCATCCAAAGAGAATGTTACAGTGATACACTTATCCTTTCCAACAGACTGCAAGTTCTAACAGGACCTATATTTAAACATTAATGGATTTAAAATATATTCATATTTTACTTAAAAAGGATTTTAGTCCATTCTGCTCTTTTTGTTCTAACTCAATCAAGTCAGGTATTGATTTGACTGAAAGTTGCACTTTTGAATTTATGTGAGAGTATGATTAAGCTACTTTAAAAAAATAAAATGTATACCTGAAATCCATTTTCCAAGCTAAATTCATCCCAAATGTAAGATAAATAAGTCAATATGATGGGCAAAAATTCATGTAATGTACTATAACATACACAATTGTTTTGTAAACTTCCTTAAATCATTTAACCACCTACAAATCATCAAAAGAAACCAAGAACACAGCACCTTTATCCAGTAAATAATCCATATTTTGTGCTGGTCATACTTACATACAATAATTAGAAAATTAACTTACTCTACTAGAAGAATGGATCGTCACATTAATTTGAGGATTTGCATCATTTCATAAGAACAAAAGCTAACAATAAACAATAAATACAATATTTTCAGCAGGGTCTTTGACAACAAAGCTTTTCTCAGTGATTCCTGGACACGAAAGCAGCACATAATAATGGTAAACCTTAAATCACATGAATGCTGAAATTATTCATCAACACTTACTCTATGACCCTTCTCTCCAGGCAGACCTGGAAGTCCATCAAAACCTCTGTCTCCCTGTAAAAAAGTAAATATTATGCTATGAAGTGTGAATACTCTTTCAAGCTGCATTTCATTTAAACGTCTTCAATATGTTTAGAACAAAGAAAAGTTTTGCTTTTCATTTATGTTTTTTATAAAATGCAAATGCTGTCTGAGGGTTTTATAGCTCTTGATTTCTTACTGACTTAAAGTTATAAAAGTTGGAAATCATTGTGTATTTTTACACCCCTACAATACAGTCACAATAACGTATTGCCCACCTATTAACCCCCATTCTGCCTGTCATAGTGTGGGTTATGGTAAATTTGCTATAATTAACAATTGCAACTCATACTTCTAAAAAGGGAAATAAAACAACCAATATGACGCACCTTGGACCCTGATTCACCTGGCATTCCTCTGGCTCCATCAGCACCCGCCCGGCCCTTAAAAAACGATTTCGTACATCAAATTAATACATTAACTTAGAACTTTAAGCTGTATTTGGCCAACTTTATGCCCTTAAACAAACCTATTCATGTACGTATGGTACAAAATGGCATGACACTTTTGGCATCTATGCAACATATCAACACATTTCCAATTTCACTGATTAAAGCGACACAATTATATAGTAAGTGTACAACCATCAAGAAGTTATATTTTGCAAATAGCAGTGGTATTATCAACTTTAAAATGTATATTAAATAATCTCATTTGTGTGAAACTGTGGATATAGAAAATAATGCTACTTTTACTTTCAGGTTTAATTATGCTAAAGTGACTTTTTTAATACATCAGCGCAACAGCGTGGTAAAAAGCACTCTTATTTCCAAAAATGTCTGGACTTACCCTCTTGCCAGATTTTCCCACTGGACCTGGGGGACCTTGAACACCCCTTGGGCCCTAAAAAAAGCAAATAGATAAATCACCTGCTGGTAATTAATTGCTGCCAGTTGTCATCCAGGTAGATGCTACACTTCAATGGTAGATGAAGTGGGTCCCCTTCTATAAAGAAAATGTATTTAAGTTACAGTACAATACATTTAGAACTCGAAGGCAGGAATCCTGACTAGATTACGCAAGATCATGTCACTCCTGTCTTGGAGTCTTTTTACTAGCTTTCCGTCAGGATTGGAGTTAATGTTAAAAACCTCCTGCTTACATTTAAGGTTCTACATAGTTAGGTTCCCCAGTATCTACTGTAGATGATAAGTTATGTGTTTACTGCTCATTACTCTAAATTCTCTAAATCTAAATTCTACTCTAAATTCTCTAACTATAAATTCTAAAATCTCAATTCAATTTATTTTTATATAGCAGCTTTCACAACAAGGCGGCCCGAAGGCGCTTAATAAAACAAGTGACCATACATGTTGTAAATTCACTGTTATCCCACTGGTTGGCTACACTTCATAGGTAACAGGGCTTTTGGTCGCTATTATCCAAACCTCTGAAACACCACCTGAAAAGAAATCTGGGCTTTTTAAGTCTAGCCTGAAAACGTTCTTGTTTGCGAGAAGGCTTTTTTAGTGATTGCATTAGTTACATGAAACAGAAAACACTGTATTAAAAAGTAAAAAGTGAAAGCTTTGGATTGAATTATCCAAAAGGAATGAAGCAATCCACTTGGCATACTGCAAAACCCACCAGTTCAGAGTTTATGTGAATGCATGATGTTTTCTGTTATGAAGCCATAAAGTTATTGTCCAGGCGGAGTCCAATTTTGCAAGATATCAGTATAAGTTTGGTATACTGTATGTAAAAGCCTAAATAACACAGAATTGCACATCTCTTTTTGTGCCACCAATATGTTCAAAGTTAAATCCAGTTGCACTTTAAGAATGCAATGCCTTGGAGAGTCATGATCAGCTGTTGTTCTATAGGGGGGAGAACTGATGACACCAGAGACATCCACTGTGGAAGTTTCATTTGATTGACAACAGGGTTAGAGGGATTACTGGTGAAAGTAAGGTATGGTCTGTCCTCCTCTAGAAGACAGTAACAACACGTATGTGGGGAGCTCCATATCCTTTGTCTACTGGCATACAGTAGCTGTGGCACATAATGTCACTTAATGTATGTGGAGGGTCACAGGGAAGAACAAAATATTGGACAACACCCATTTACATTTAACAAGAAATATTTAATTGTATTGTAGCTAGCACCAGATACATTGTGAGGAGTTCTGAGATTTGTTTCTTGTTCAGCACAGCAAAACAGGCATTAAATACTACAGTGTATGGTGAATATGATGTCAGACTGAAGATAAATATATTCCTCATGATTAATGTTCAAACATAGGCAAGGCCATCAGCCCTTACTATAGGTGATGAATCTCAGATGAACAATATTGGGTAAATCAGGGTTATTTCTGTTCTATTGGAATCAGGACCATACTGAGCAAGTAGCGGATACTACTCTGGAGCATATCAATAGCAGTGTACTGTACATTTCTATTGTACATTGATTTTATATTTGGATGTTGTGTAATTGCAATTAGTCACAAGAGTCACTGTTTGCCACAAATATGAAAAAACTCTGGCCAAATAATTCCAGCCCCTATCCTGGCTGTGCTTTGCCAGTTGGGAGTTAGTGTTTAAGAAATCCCAGTGACACAACCCAGGTTTGAACAGAAATGTTGTTTTAAAGTGAGATATCCCCTGCCTGAATAAAATACCTTAATAAACAATTTATAGTATGTGGCTGTGGTTGTCATTATTTTATATACACCATAGTTTTCAAGAATGGTACCCAAAGAATTAAGAAGTCTACAAATAAAAATCTTTAATTAGGAGATATTGAGCTTTTCACTCCCATGATGTTACAGATGGTAAAACATAGTTACAATAATGGAACTCTTAAGACTTTACAAGAATATAAGCACTAAAGCTCTCCTTCATGTATTAAAGAGTATAACTAGGAAAGTGTTATAATATACAATATTGTTTGTTGATGAGTCATGAAGTCATCAAGCAAAAGAGAACAAGAATACTGAATGAAGAAGTACATTTTTACTGTGTTGCTGAAGCTACCACTTATGAATGTGACTTTGAGCAAGTAAATCACCTGACACCTGACAATCAGGACCAGTTTTAAAACCTCACAATTTACTTTTATGGTAAGAGGTTTATATACGATGAACGCATGAAGGCATCCACCAAGATTTGGCTATATTGACAACATGAAAAACTGAAAAGTGTTTTTGATGATGTTCCAAGACTGATCCACCTTTGACATGGAGTTTGTTTCAACCTGGGAGCATCTTGTGCTGTTGTTTTTTTTTCCAGCTTACCTGAGGGCCAGGATCACCACCGTCACCTTTGAGACCAGGAGACCCAGGAAGACCCTAGATAAGAGAAAAGTCAAGGAATTAAAATGGAAAGCTGACATGTAAAGATATTAATGCCGTTAACATGATAAATGAATAGCTTTTAACATCAGCTAAAAGAACTGTAAAGAACTATAAATGGACTTGTACCTACTAATTGTGTAGTAAATATAGATGTGTACAACAAACATACAGAATGTGGCAATGCAAGTTACAGCATGTGCCAGTTGTACGAAGCAACCATTTTCTTATTAAGGTTTGATTTTTATCATTATAACAAATAAGCCTAATTACACATTTCACTTCTGTAAAACAAAAATACTACCCCAAAAAATATAAGTTCTAAATAAACATTTCATAGGGTATAGAGCTAAATGTATCATTGAAGTCATGTTTCGCTATTTAGCACCACTTTATTTTAAATTGATCAAGCTATTTCAGAAATTAAGAAAAGACTAATGACTTTGTGAGGTGGTAAAGGGGCTCATTTACACATTTATTCAATGCCATTCGCATCACATTATAAGATAAATAAACCCAATTCATACTCTGATATAATCAGAAGTTCCCGAAGAGCATACGCTTTCAGATTTATACATTTTTAAACTTGTTGCCAGCCATCTTACTTTAAATATGCCGAATGCTGCTTTTTAAATGGAAACTCTGGTGATCTTTTTGATATATCACTTCTTTCTTCATATAATGTAGTCTGGCATTCTTAATTAGCAGGTTACACACAAAGCAATGAAAAAATAACATGCTCTGTGTTTTTTAGCACAACCAGATATAACTTATAGCTCAGGGCACTATGGTTGCCCTCTTAATTGTTCCTCTGCCAGCTGACACCTACTTATTTAAGATATGAAAGCATAAATGTATCCTACATATGAATTATATAATGACTTAAGGGCAGTGTGGTGATTATCGTTGCTGCCTCAGAGCTCTTGGATCCTTGATCCTCTGTGTGGAATTTTCATATTCTTGCCATGTCTGTGTGGGTTTTCTGAAGGTAATTTGGTTTCCTCCCATAGCACAAAAACATGCTTCCTGTTAAGTTTAATTGGTGTTTCTGAATTACCTCCAGTATGCAAATGTGAGTGAATGTGCAAATGACCCATCAGGATTGTGCCCTGTGTCTGCTAAGTTATTTTACTGTTAAAGGCATTTAGGCCATAAAGCCTGTTTGGTTGCTGGTTGCTGGTGATTCAAGGTTCTCATCCTTTCTATTTGCATACATGTCTGGATAGCTTTACCAAGCTGCCAAAAAACCTTTGTGTACAAAAGTGTTATCGAATCAGAGTTCTGAATAGACATCCCCTTAGTTTCCACTTCTACCCTTTGGTTTCTGTTCCACTGCTGGTTGTTTCTTATTCTGTGAGAATGCATTCCTACTGTACCTTATGAATTATGCAAGAAATTATGTTCACAATAGTATTAAGAGTAAAGTATTGACATGTCTACTACTCCTTTTCTTAGAAACAGGACTTTTTTTATATTCCTGCAACTGATGTGTCTGCTGTGTAAAAGTGTTTTGTATTGAATATAAAAGAGAGAAGTGACAATATGGTAAATCCAGAATAACTTCATAGAACACTGACATTTAATTTTCATTGAAATCCCTGTCCAACACGATAAAAGTCCAGGATTGCCTTCAGCAAATTGTGCTGAGGCAAAGATGTGCCTTCCTTTCCCGTTCAATGGAAAGACAAGTGTTTACTTGTCTTTAAACCACCAGAGAGTTAATGACTGTAAATTGGTCTGCTGGCAATGGAAACCATGAAAAGAGATAAATGGGAAGATAGCAAAGTTACAGAGGCAGCCAGCTTTTTATGGTGAGAGTTACTCTGTAGAAGCAAATACTAGGGTCTCACACGAACCATAAAAACAATGTGCAAGGACTGCATTATTTTACCTGATAACCTGATATTCTTTCTTCAAATTTGGTGTTACAGTATTAACTGTGAAATTTGAAAGCAATATAATATTTTGTATTCATAGTGTAAACAAACACATATTCATCCATTTTACATTGTTTAGCAAAAATGTTTTAGAGGACATTTAACCCATTGTCTGTGCAAGATATGTTTGAGGCAGTATTTTAGGGTAGGAAAAGTGTTGAGTTTTATTCCATTTTGTGGTAAAAATAAAGCAGTGGAAACTTACCACAGGACCAGACCTTCCTGTGAGACCCATTGGACCTGGAGGACCTCTCATGGCAAGCTAGAGGGTTATATTTAAACAAATGTGAAATTATGCATCTGTTCAGAGCGATACTACTTCAGATATTTTTAGACTGGCATTAATAAGAATGTCTGACCACACAGTGGTTACTGTCAAGCTAACCAAAGCCCTTGACATTGTAGGTCATTAGGTCATCATGCACGCAAAAGGTCAGTGAAACACATACAGTATGTTTAACAAGAACAGTGTTGTTCCTTCAATTTTCATTTAAAATTCAAAACAAGCATCTTGGTGAAAAGGCAAATCCACTGTTTTAAATATTTTTTTCTGCATGTGTCAGGATTTCCTGAGAGAAGAATCAGAAATAAAGTGAGTAATATTTCAGCGCAGAAGTTCTTGACTGTCTTTGTGCTACTAAACGTCACACACCTGTCCCATTGAAAAAGTATGTGGGCTGAACCCCTGCAGTATTTTTAACTATCTTCAGCATCTGTCCAAACAGATAGGCATGCTGAGTCACAATATAGCACTTCAAAGACAGCTGTCTAAAGTGGAAAACCATTTGGCAGTCATTTCCTACTGTTCCGCAGCACTTACCCTGGCCTGGGAAAGAATAGCCTGAGCCTGAGCTTCCTGAGCCGACACAACTGGTCCTTTCTCACCATCCCCACCAAACCGGAACTGTTAACAAAATAAACCAAATAAATCTAGAAGAACAAATCCTTTGATTTCCATAGTGTACTATTCAAGTATTTCACATCCCTTCAAAAAAGATCCATCAACACATATGTTTGAGTCTTCATATGAGGATTTGTTTTGACAAAGGCTAAATCAATCTCGATTCTAATTTTCACATTTAACTGGACTTTTAAGGCTTCGGTATTCGTTGAGCCTGAGGACATAGTTCATGGAAAACTACAAAAAATAACAGTTAAGGTTATACTAAGCAGATCATTACAGTTCTTTGAAAGAGGATGAGTCAAAAATCGGGTCAGCATTGTAGCACAGCAGTTACACTGCTTCCTCACAGGGTCCTGTGATATTCTGGACTGGGGCACCACGTGTGTCATTTGTACATTTGCAGGGGTTTTCTAGAGGTCTTCCCATTTTCTCACACCTCTTAAAGATATACCGACTAGGTTTTCATTGGTTATCGGCTATAAATTGTCCTTTTCTCCACAGTCCTTTACTGGACTGGTGTCCCATCCAGAGAGAAGGCATCTGGGCCAGGTTCTGGGTTATCTCAACCCTTCCCAGGCTTTCTGATAATGGATCCATTGAAAATGTCATTTTTCAACATAAATTCCCACGCATTTCAAAATGAAACACACTGTCACGATTTCCAAAAAGCATATTTTGTGCAGTCCTCTGTTAAAACAAACAATAGGTCTTCCTTTTCGCTGTGCTTTATTTGAACTCGTTTTTATTACGAGAAACTGATTGTTTTTTTCAAATGTCACATGAGACGGTTCAGTGAAGAAAAAGTATGAACAACTTACTGGCAACATCAGCATGGTACCTGGAGGCCCAGGTAATCCATCAGCACCTGGGAGACCGGCTCGGCCTGGAGGACCCTATCAAAGAAAACAATAAATCATGTTGAAAGGCTGACACGATTGACAGAAGCCAGGCAATGGCATGCATCAGGAGAGAGAGCAAGAACACATGGTAACTCTAAGAACGTGCAAATATTCTTAGAGTTAGGAATGCTTTCATTACAGTATCAGAAGAATGCTGAAGAAAGCATCCTCCACAGCCTGAGGATATTACTGTACCTTTTGGCTAAAGCTCACTACCCATTTTAAAAATCAATATATAATTATAAAATCATGATATCCTTAAAAAAGGGCAAAGAGGAAATGAATGACTTCATCAGTAGAAACATTCGAGTTCAGTATTTAGGTCCTTAAACAGTCTGGTTTCTTTAGAAGGATGTTGACTGTTACAATTATGTGTTCTGAAATGTTTAAACTGTCAAGGCATGTTATCATCCACATTATTAAGCAGAACATTTTAAAGCAGAAATGATCTAATTTAGATGTTTCCTAATCCTTCATACAAGGTGTTGTTCATAACCATAAAGGCTTTTGGAGAATGGAAGAGTAAGTTTGATCCAAAACATACTGTTCAAAGCCTTGGAGAAGTGAGAAAGCCAAAGAAATTAGGGCACGTTTGTTTTGGAGGGCTTTGGAGGAACTTTGTTTCTTTTGTGGTGGATAATTAATTTACATGACTACTACTGTACAGTAAGTACTATTTAATTGAAACCATGTAAATTCTTAATAGGGGATTTTAAAAGGATTTGCTTTAATTGTACGAGATCTAAAAGAACAGCTTGAATATTTATTTTAAAACTATTCCTATATAAAATTATTTTAGAATTAAAATTATTCCACAGCCCTGTACTGTATATCCTATTGGATGGGTATTTAAGGAGGAAAATATAACAGTCTAACAGTACAACTATGCTGTTCATGGTAATTATGCATGTTAATTTGTTAATATACATCATCCCAAATACAAGACAAACATTAGGGACCCTATATACAAAGCACAGGTGTGCTTAAATCCCCATTGCTTTCTAAGTAACTGAAGAAAAAGGTGTTATACTTTTCAGAAAAACTTAGCGATATCTAATGCAAAATGGTAATCCTGTTCAAACCATAACTACTTAATAAAATCTTTTTGAACTTTTTTTAAATCTTCAACGAAGGTTTGTATAAAGAATTTCCTAATTAAATCGCAAATGTATTATACTGCAGGGTTTCTGACTTTATTCCATGGAGAATATTCTCCAAAATGGATTTAATCAGAGTTCCAGGAATTTCTTTTAATTCATGATACTGAGCTGATTTATAATATAATCCTTTCAAAAACTGGTTAGTCATATTTCATTAGTTCAAGCTGATATCATGCATATTTTAGCAAAAACAATAATATAGTGTTTTGGGTAAATAGAAGTAGTAGAATTACCATATATGTTCAAAGCACTGCTTTTCATCTGTTCCTCATTTACGGTCAGATAATACTAGTATTATTGTTCATTTCATTGGTCATTGTTCTGCAGGAATTTATTGTAGACAGCGCCATCTAGTGCACATGACTTTTTTCCTGCCTGACCCCGAAAAAGAGTGAAATTGTTGTATTTTAAAATATGATGTTACTTCCTTGCAATTACTGTAAGCATAAAATGCTCATTTTAAACAATGTAATTGCATTTTGTGTTCATATGACCGAGAACGAAAATTTATGTTTGTGTGCACGAAAAAGCTGGTGTGTGAGAAGATCTGATTTCTTTGTTGGTCCCGAGTGTACTCTTTTTAAATGGGTAAGCCACCAGAGATGAATGAATAACTGAAGTTTTGAAAACAAACAGTAATCCAGCTTTTAGTAACACTTATGATCACAAACAATCAACTATAAACATTTCAAGGCCCTTCAACATTCATAGAATAAATGTTTCCAGGAATTTAACATTTTTAATGAGCATATCTGGCCATTGAGACTGTCATGTGAGTGAATGAGCTCAATAATAAGCAGAGAAAACCAGTAACTTCCAAGAAATCAGTACAAGGAAAATCAAAACAATATTTACAATATCCTATTTCTCACTGCCCTTAAGTGTATTTTATTTTTTCAATTATTCCTTGAATTATAAGAACATTTTCCATGTCACACTGTACTTAGCTGTCTGAAGACGTCTGTTAAGCTTACTTGTGGAATGATTTGCCATATAGTGGTTTTTAACTATTGCTTTTTGAGCTGCATGGCTTTTATATATTAATGAAAGAGAATAGAAATAATGCAAAATGACAGATGCACAAGTCTACCATAAAGTAGTTCACAGTTTCGAACGGTATGACACAAAATGTAAAATAACTAGGCAAGATCATTACAGTGGGTCAGCTGATCGATACACAAAATGTTACATGTATCAGTACACTGACTGATTTTTCATTAGAAACTTTTATGTTTTTTATAACGTATTTCAACTGACATAAGGTATATAACGTAGTAAGTTTTAATGGGCATAAATAAACTGCTATATTGTTATTATTCTATTTATGAATAATGAGCCAGCATAATTAATGCATTAGTTCCCTGCAGACACAATTCAGCAACATATAAACAATATTCACAGTACTATCAAATGAGAGGAAGTGATGCATTAGATAAGGACCTCCATTAGGTCTTACTGAGGACTTGTCAAGAGTTTGTGGTTCTCATTGGAATCCTTACCCTCTCACCAGGATCTCCGGAAGGGCCAGGAGGACCTTGTAGACCTGGGGGGCCTGGAAGACCCTGAGAAAACAGAACAAAAATCAAATCCCTGCATGAACAAATAAAAAACACACAAACAAGCATGGCAAAGCATTGTTTTACTGTCTCCGCTCTGCTTGAAATGCAGACCAAGGAGAAAGCTCTCCCCCAAATATTTTTTTTAATCATTTTAAAATATACAAAATGGTTGATGCATTTTTTGGTAATAAATGTTTAAACAAATTTGATACTCACAGCAGGGCCTTCTAATCCTGGGGGTCCTTCTATAAGCATTCCCTTTAAGACATAATAGTATTTACAGCAAGTTATAAATCACTGGAAAGTATTACATGGGTGTGCACATAAAATAATCAAATACAGGGTTTAAACCAGTAACTAAACCCCCTTATAAATGTGCTTGCTCTCTCCCTCTCTGTGTGACAGAGTAATACAAAACACAAAGTACGTAAATTGAAGTCAAGGTTCACATTACTATGCCTTAAACATTTTATTGCACAGGTAATACAGATTTCTAACATTTTATATCTGAAATACAGCTTACAAAAAAGAAAAACTTACAGGCTCAATGACTGCTGGTTCACCTTTCTCTCCTTTTTCTCCATAATACCCTCCGCCATTTACCTACAAATATGTCAATGACAAATTGTCTACATTCAGCACATCAAGGAGAAATTAATATGCTTATTAAAATATTGATTTTCTATGTGTACATATCATAAGCGTATAATTACAGTGTTAGAAGATATAATAGAGAAAGAGACAGGCTGACAGAAGAAGAGACAGACAAAGGTAGCTAAGGTAGTGAGTTGCTTACCCAATTAGACTACAAGCATTTATTATTTGTCATTGTATTAAGTTACCAGAGAATGTAAAACTGAAACAGAACCTCAAGATTATAATTCTAATTAATATTATTTTTATGCAGTCTCAGAATAAGTAGTGGTACAGTGTGTTCATAATGTCACTTTTCAATAACTGCAGTGAAAATATAAATGCATATAAATTTTGTTCCATTTTATTCATAAGCATTTTCAATGTTCAGTAGTTCAGCAGATATTTGTTATATGCATTTCTTTTATTACATTATTGCATACTGTCAAGATATTAATAACCAGCCTGTTTAAAGTGATAATAACTTGTCTGTAACAGCTAACAATGTCAGACCATGTGAAAACCATCCTGAAAGAATGAAGTACAAAGTAACAGGAACAAAACTTCAACTTCAGAGCTTATGTTACTGTATATCTACAATCATCTCACATGAGTGATATTTAGGAATGAAGCTATTGAGTCTTCAAGATCTTTTTTGTTGAATGTTGAAAACCCAAGACCGGCAAGATAACTCATCCCACCTTAAGTGGTATTTACATCATCCCAAAAGTCTTGCAAAGTGCAACAGAATATGGCGAGAGAGCTTTAAATCATCAAAGCCTAGTGTATAACAGATATGAATATGATATGGTCTAATCTCCCATACTGAATATTTTATAATGATCACAGTAAAATAAGACAAAATATGCGCACTGTCAATGTTTATCAACAACTTTGAGGTTTGAGTACAGATAGATGGAACATAAACAGTTTCCACACAAAAAAGGTATGAAAACATACTAAAATATTGCAGCATTTTATAAGCCTCTGTGGGAGGGTGTGTATGTCACTGACAGCTGGATCTTTAATGTGGAATAGGTGATCTGCCCTGAAGCCATATGTGAAACAAACACTTGACAAAATGCTCTTGAAAACTCCAGGATGAAGTGTAGAGGGAGGAGTGCATTTTCAGCAAGGTTTAAATTAACAGTAATGTCTCCATTACATTTTTCATAGAGTGTGATACATTTACAATAATGGAAATGAAATTGTTTATATGATATTATCCAAGGTCTGAATAACATTTGGGTGTCCTTTTCTTTATTCATGCTTAGTTTTTCATAATTAATTTTGTTTGGAAGTACTTGTGCAACTTCAATAGAAAGCATCATGACTTGTCATCATATAGGTTTGTGCATTAAAAAATTGTTACATAATAACATTGTTTTCCAACTAATGCTAAATTAACATAATGCTACAATTTTACTTATCTGCTTTGTGAAGACAACAAGTTTCAAGCAGTTCCAATTTATTCTACATTTTGTGCTTGTGTATAATTTTTGTAATATTGTTTTTAAATGCATTTATGAAGTTTTAATAAAATTATAAAACGAACAGCTTCCTTCATTACACAATATTCTATTTAAATGATATAAAAATGTGCTAAAAAATATACAAATGTATATTGTCACATTTACTGACGTGTTCACGGATTGAAATAAAGATTTCTCAGAAACAATAAGCCAGTCTGTGGGTCTGAATTATGTGGCCCCAATATCATTCTGATATTTTATCTCCATGGAAATGCAAACATCATAAACAAAAAGGTGAAACTAAAGAAGTCATTGTGTTTTGCTAGTGTCTGAGTTCTACATTTTGAGGTTAGAATCCTTACTTTATAATGCAAACAGTCACACCCAGTAGTGCAGGATTGGAAAAAAAACTTACGTTGCTTTCTGTGACGCCAGTCTCTGCAGGAACACCTGGCCCAAAGGTATCCTTCTCATCAACAGTAGGTACTGTCTCATATTCATCATAGTACCCATCATAGTTTTTTTCAGTTTCTTTAAGATCATATTCTTTAAGGTCATACTCCTTAAACTCATATTCACTGGCACCTGGATCCACTGTCCCCTTGATTTCCACCGTTTCCTCAGTGATATTTGGCTCCAGACCATTCTCCACTCCAGTTACATATGCGTCAAAATATTCCTCTTCAACAGCCTTATTCTATTCCAAGCAATGTAGCAGATGGTATCGCAATGGAAGGAATATGTTTGTTAGTTAAGCAGTTAGAGCATTCACTATTCAAACAAAGCTTTGCAAATTAAGAAAGTCTGCATAAACAAATTCATGACTGCAGAACAGTAACACCTTAATTTTGATGTAGAGCAGTTACTTCTTAATCGAATGTGCAATAGTTTTGCTATAATCACAATGGCATGTTGCTGTTTAGTAGCAACATGTGTTACTCCTGTGCAATTTAATTCATTGCACATGGTAACTGCATAAGGCACCATTTTTTCAAAGCAATCACCAATTGCTGCAAAACTGAAGGAATATTACCCCTTTAATTTGGGATCCCTAATGATCAGGGGTATGGAATAAATTATTTTGGGTTTTGCTTTTATCTTGCATTTATCTTGGTATTAATTAAACAACTGAACCTGTTTTCCTCATAGTTCACACAGTGATAGGAATAAGGTAAGATATTAGCAATGCTAATGCTAATAACCTTTCACAGTGCAGAACTTATTGTAACTATTTACTACTTATTACTACTCCTTTACTTGATTGCAACATTTTTGAAACCGTGTTAAAAAAAATAATTCTGTTCATCTAAATATTACATTTTGCTTCAATTGAATTCAAAACAAAAAGTGAAATATCAGGCTATTGCCAATGCGGTACAAATTATTCATTAAATTCCATAAGGTAAGAATTTATTTACAAAATACAAAACTGGCATATATCAAAATGCTCAGCATATAAATTGCACTGAATTTAACTAGTAATTTCTAAGTGGACTATGTGTCATACTTTTTTCAACTCAATATGTATATATTCTGATAAAATGTTTAAGAAACTTACTAAATTATAGCGGGACAACAAAGCATATTTAACTCTAAAGTATGATAACCTTATAAGGTTTCAAGTAGGTTTGGTGCAGTATTCTACTTCTGCCACATTCCCACACTAATAAATCAACAGATTACTGAAGTTTAGTGCATCTCAAGGGTCAGAGGTAATGTTATTTTTGACCTCTCTATTGACTTGCCTACACCAGATGCAATACACAAAGCTAGTCTGAACAATCACAGAGAAAGAGAAAAAATGGTGCATTTTTTTAAAAAAGCTCTTCAAAGGAACATACTCTTGTCCAGAACCTGAAAGAGAATGTTCACAGTTCTGTATTGTACCATTGCCTAAAAACAACAGTCACATTACATCCTTGCAGCTTGAGTTAGCAAAAATGCATGTTGATTGACCTCTACTTTCAGAAAGGGTGCCTGAAATGCACTGATCAAAGTTTAGTTAAAAACTAATAATAACTCATATTTGATCAACTCATTTCAGTATACTTACAAGATATAAATAAGCATTAAAATGCATCTAAAGCATTATTTAAATTGAAGGCAGACTTCAGCTCTAGGTAGTCTTGGTCATACTTACAAATTCTAATTACTTCTAAAGAGCTTTGTCTGTTATTGATATTGTGAATCATAGGTAAGGCTGTAACTTAACTAGAAAGTCAAAAAGAGAAAAACAGAACAAAAAATTGAACTGTAACTTTTGGAAGTTACAGATACAGTGCTATATCCGTTTTAATGTTTGGAGAGAATGTTGTAAAATTGTATCGTTTGGCAGTTCATGAACAGGATATGTGTACAGAACTCTTTTTCCTTTTATTATTCAGGACAATTCCAAATGTACTTAATCACTGTTTAAAAGAGCAGAGCAATGAATTCCCAAACCCTGATGCTTTTTGCCACCAGAGGTCTCCATCTGTGCTATGAAATATTGTTTTTTGACATGTTTTCTCTGTATATAAGCTTACAGGGTGGTCAGATACATCAGTTTGCCTGCTGAGGTGATCTTCTAACATTTGTCTCCAAGACTGTTTTCTTTAGAACATCTACCCAAGTTGTTCATTACAGACTTTACAAGGACAATAATAATTATTAAGCTGTATTTAAGACGTCCTATTAATATGGTTTCTGTAATTAAAACATACATTACAGATAAAAAAAATACTGTATAAAATGCTAAATACCTCATACAGCCTTACCCATCATTAACATAAAAAACATAAAGCTAGAAAATGTATTTAGGAAGCTCTTTTACATCATTCTGTACAATTCATAATATCTTTTTAATGTATAATGTCTCCTGAATTTTAATGTATGTGTTTTTATAGCCAGTTTCTTGAAAATATTACATTCCTGTATTTGTCATATTACAATGCTCTTAGCCAAAATATGAATTTAGTTGTGAGGATTACCCATTACACAGGTAAAGTCGAATTTGAATTAATTCCTGGATTGTCTCAAAACAAGATGTCCTGTCTAACCATTCAGCAATGCATTTCTTAGCTTTATGTCTTGTAGAACTCACTGTAAAAAAGCTCCACTGCTGGAGTCATCTTCTTATTCAGCACAGAACAATTACATTGAATTGTTTTGTTTTTGTCTTTTCATACCGTCAACTTCCTCGGTCTTACGTCTTCTTAGAGGGGATTCTTACAGCCTGGGTCGGGTTAACTTTTCAAGCACTGCCCAGTTTAATAAAAAAAAAAGTTGCATATTTACCTCGTTTGGTCCAGTTGATTCAGTGGGAGATTGAGTTTGAAAACCTTCTACAATTCCGAAGTCATTGTCAGGTGTATAGTAATCTTCATCTACATTGTTTAGCTGAATTCATGTCACATTGAAAGAAAAAGAAAACAAAATAACAAAAGGAAGAATTAAAATAGAAAAAGCATATGTAAGAGGAACTCCGGTTATTTGCCAGGCTCTAGTGTCATCTAGGGTTGTGTGTATCTAAGGGGGTTAGGCAGAGTTTAGTCTATTATCAGAGATCTTCCCATCTTGGCCATAAGAAGATCTTGATTGTCTGATCTATCATTACCCCTAGTATGACTGATGATCTTGCTGGGGTTGCAGGCATCACTTTCTTCTTCTTAGCGGCTAATTTTTCAGATTTTTTGGTTGTGACCTTTAGGGGTTTGTCCTTAGTTTTATTGGGCTTTGCCGTTCTCTTCTTTTTGCTGAAGGAATTTGGTTTCTTTTTCTGAAAAAACGTGGGCGAAAGATGGAATGGAAATAAACATAAATGAGGAAGAAAGAAAAATGGGAGAAGCAGCACGTATCCAGGGAAATGTTAGAGCACATGAATAAACAGCACCTCTACCTTCCAGGTATTTCTGACCTGAAAGAGAAATTCGAACTGTTTTCAGTCAGAAAATGAGAGAGGCTCAGCATGACGTAAAGCAAGGGCGATGGACAGAAGACACGAAAAGACCACACACAGTGGCGGTGTTCTTGGAGGGGGGTTCACACAATGAGTGACAGCGAGACACCACAGGACAAACAGGCCAGTGTTTATTTTTACCTTTGGTTGCGTATAAGTCTCTTCAGTTGGGGGGATCTCAGTTTCATATAACTCTCCACCATAGTCATAGAATTCACTGTAATCTACTAAGTCATCAGTAGTAGTGTACTAGATCGCAAAAGGAAAAATCCAAGCACAGAAATGTTAGGAAAGGCAAATTTTAAAAAACCTTTTTTGAAGAAAAGGTGGTCAAACATGTCATATTCACAACAGTTGTGACATACTGTATTGTCGTCAGTACCCGTTGTCAGACATTTTGACGTGCTGTTAGTTGTTAAACACTTTGCTTGTTTTTGAGGACAGTTTTAAGTCATCAATAATACAGCAAGTTCATATGGTTCAAATCTCCTTGCTTTGGTTCAAATCTCCTTGTTTAAGAAAGCACTATGCACCTTGTTCTGTGCATGTTTCCATTTTGCCTTGCTTTACTCTATCAATCAGATCTATGGCATGTTTATAGCTTTTCTTGTTCCAAATGCTTATTCTCGTTTTTCACTGAAAACTGCAGGTTTTTATCTGCCTTTGTATCACTTTATCATATTAAATACAGTGGCTTGAAAGTATAACTAGAAAATCCACTGAAAGAGGAAAATATAAAAAATGACATTGGTCCTTGTGATCAGAACATTAGGCAGCTAAATCTCCATTGCTTCCTATGGGGATTTAAGAACCAATTTTAAATATATTTGAATATACATATATATCTATTTACAGTATATGCAGTATACTGTACAGACAGGTTTCATTAACATATTATTTTTGATGAAAGCCACATAATGAAAATGGAAAATTGTCTTATAGTAATGATACAACTGACAGATAAGAGAAATGGGATAGACCCTGCTTTCTTAAACTCAGATTATTGCCAGCAATGCCAACTTTGACTTTAATGAACTGCATATTAATGTATATTATATATTTAAGTTTAAGTAAGATAAAATAAATCAGTACTAGTAGTCTTTGAGACAATTAAATAACACTTTTATGTACCAGTATATACTGAGAGGTTTTTAAAATACCACAACTAAGTGCTGGAATCAATTGCATCTGTTGAGTTTTTAAAGGCTCTTAAATAGAAATGTTGGATTTCATCACAATAATCCCATAGTACTTTTATTTTATTTGTCTTGTGGCAAAGCGTTATGGCTAAACTAAGCATAAAAAGGTTTATTAGACTTGTCTTAAGATTGAACTAATGTTCCAAACAAAAAAAAACTACAACAATGAATGTGTCCTTAAGCATTAGTTTTATTTAGAGAGGGGCTGTCCCTTGCACAAATCAAGCTGTTGTTGTCATGGCAATAAGGGTTAAACACAGTAGTAAAGCATTTAAACCTTCTTGTCTATTTTGTTATTTCTGTTTCCTCTACTTCAAACAGAAATAATACCAGACAATCCTGGAACACAGAACAAGATAAGCAGTTTTGCCAATGCGGCAATGAGTTTTGTTATTTGCATTTTCTACAGCATACTGTATACCGAAACTAAAAATCTGAGCCAACTAAGGACTTTTATAACACTTTGGTGGCCATATTATGGTCAAAGAGTAATTGTACTTTCTAAGGCTAAAACGGAATGCAAAATGTACATATTAACTAATAGAGCACAGTTTATGATCTCACAACAATGGTCAATTGGATTATGATTTTTTGTCTTTCACTTCAAATTGCTGAATTTGCTTTTTAGTAACATATTAAACCAGTTGTTTTTTTATCACAAACTACAGAAAACGTAAAATTGATTTTCCTATCCAGTGAACAGCTTTTAATATAAAAATGGATTCTTAAATTCTTAGGTGATTAAATTCTACAGCTTGACCTGTTAATGTAGTTAATAACAAATGTTTGGAGGAAAGAGCAGCCTCCTTTTCCTGCCAATCACCTGTGACCACATCACTATAAATGTGAGTCAGACTTTCCTCCCCGGTGATCAATGCTCAGCAAACCTCCACGATCCCCATTCTATGCCTATGCAGCAGCTCCTGGGTCACTTTACTTGTGGGGGATGGACACCTTAGTTGAAGGGGTTACCCCTGTGGCCAAGTTGGGTGAAACCAAGGATACTGCAATCCCATTTACTGATGCAGGGCTTGTCTGAACTACAGAATTGAATAGTTTTGGATAATCAGCAGTTAAAATAATTGAGAATGATGTTAACAGGCAATAAAACCCTGATATCTCTACATCCATCAAAAGGGATAAATGTTAGTCCCAATACAGCTGCTCAGCTAATAAAACAACTTAAAAGCTGATGAGTTGGCTGCTTTCCTCAAGCCACAAAAGGCTGTATTGGAGAAAAAAAACAAAACAAACAGAAGGCAGCGAGTAAATTTATGTTACAGTGTGAGTGAAGCCAAAAGCGTTTGTGGAGAGGAGCTGAATATCTGAATGAAATATAGAAGGTCTGCTGGTGGAATAAAAAATGACAAACCAAAAATGAAATAAAAACACTTGTGCTGACACATGCTAACAAGGGTCAGTCTAGCATGTGGTGGTGTACTGTATCACATCATCAAACGCAAAACTAAGGTCAGAAAACGATAACAACTTATAAAAATGGCTCCGTGTTTTAAAAAAATACCATTATACGAATCATTGAACAACAGTGTTGTATGCAGATGAAATGTACTGAAGATTGCAATGAATTCCTTTGTTTTGGAGATAATTTTGCCAACAAATTCCAAAAAATAATAGCATGGGACAAGAAATCGATATTTATTTAACTCATTGGTTTTAAATGTTTATTTTTAAGCAGATATCTAAATCAGGCATGACAAAAATAATTGAATTATTTAATAAATTAATCATTTTAAGATATTCTTTTTTTTAAGTTAAGGAAACTATCTACTAATTGAAGTCAATTCAAGCTGGCTGTGTAGGAGCTCTAAAGATTATGCGTGTACAATTTCCTTCTGTGTAACGGACAATCTGCAAAAGTCATTAACGGAATAAATCACTCGCAAGAAGAAAATGGGCTCTGTCTTCATGGCAAGGAAATGTTTCCACTGTGATCTCATCAGTTAGTGAAATACCACTGGAAAATCGCAACAGAACACTACAATATGTTGGAAAAAATTTCACAAAAATCTAGAATCTCACAAGACAAGACAATACTTCTTATAATGGTAAACCAGGTTACTCTCTTAGATTCTCTTGATTGTATATTTTGCATTTTGTCACATTACACCCTTTAAAATGTACTCTTTAAAAAAAGCCATTCTGAATGTAATCAAGCAAATGCACAAGCACAAACTGATCTTTTGATTCATTCAGAGGTTAGTGAATTAACACTAACTTTGGCTTTGATATGAACTTTAAAATGCTCAATTTAATATAGGGAATGGCAACACATTTGTTTTGAAGAATCAAGTTCCAAGATTCCACGATGGAAAATCAAACACTATTAACATTGTTTCTATAATTGTTATTATGAACAAACAGATGTTTTTATGAAATTGTCAAGCGAAAACTTTTGCTTTTTTGCAATACATTTGCTTTAATGCCGTAGAATATTTTATTTATACAGTATGTTTCCAGAAATCAATCAAGACAAGTATTAATAACTCTGGTTTTGCTTTTTTAATGTGTTGCATATATTGTAATATGATGTGTATTTATTCTTGTCTGTTTATTATCTGTAGATTTGCCATATAATCTGTACTGAGAAAGGAAAAAAAAATATTTTAGGGTTAAAACATTAACTTTGTTGATGTAGAAACATCTCTGGGAAGTACATCAAAGGCACACATGACTGAGTTCATAACACTTCTTTAGTCTCCCTGTGCAATGCTATTTGTTTCATTATATGAATCTTGGCAACCTGCTTTGAGAGGTCTTTTTTCTGAAACAGTTTGATAACAAAAAAAACACCAATTTAAGAAGATTATATGAGCCAGTGTCATGTGAATGAAATTATTTGTTCAACAATAAACACAGGAATCATAATATAATGAAAAGCAGACAATTAGCTTATTTACATGTTATGACTGCTTTAATTTTATTGCTTTACTGGATGCAGTACCTTTTAAAAGACAGCAGTGGTCTTTCCTGAGACTCTTCCCTTAAGTAAACACCTTAGTTAGATACTGACCTCTTCCTCCACCTGGGGTTCCTGAGCCTGGGGAGCATTGGGATGAGGAGTTTCACAGTCTGGGCTGTAGTGTTCACAGTAGTCATAAGCTGCTCTGGGATCAGCCACAATCAGCAGCTGTTGGATGTCACCCTGAAATGATCAATGTTTAAAGTTTGTTAAAGGTTATGTGAAGAAACATATGGAAACATAATGTTTTAATTGTGTTTCTGTAAGTAGCTCCTTACTTGAAAATCACTTTGATATGCTAGGTAAATGTGATAATACGCACTAAAAATCTAATATTTATTAAGTAAATTACATATAGATCATTTTTGTATTCATTGGCTTTCTGTCATAAACATGGCCAACATTCAGATTATTTCTGGAGTTCATAATATTGGCCTGTGTAATGCACATGGACAAGGTTCCCAAACGTAACAACATGGTGAAAATTTTGAATGGCTCGTTGTTAAAAAAAACATGAGTATTAAGTGTGTGACATCAGCTTAAATGAAAAACAGGAATTTCATTGTGTAATCATTCATTCATGTACATTTACTGTCTATAAAGTCACAAAGAAGCCAGAATCTTCTGTGAATCACACAAGCAAGTCAGAATAAAAACATAAGAGTGCATTTCATATCATCAAAATGATTTCAACCACTGAATTGACCATTAGATCGAAAATGATTCATTACACAGCAAGCTTAAATTACTCTAATAATGAACTAAATAAAGAGCTACAAATATTTTATTTCAGGTCAGAACGGTGGCCAAATAATCTTGCTCTCACTCACAATAACCAGATTTTAGTTGTTGAATAGGTGTGATTCAAATACAGTTTGTAATACTACTAGATTTGAATCTCCCCATTAATGAGAATATCTTTACATACAGTAGCACTGTAGCACTGGTCTATTTCCATTGTAATATAGCTTGAAGATACATTTTTAAACTGCATTTAGCTCAAAAATTCTTAAACAGTCTTAAAAGTGTTTAAGGAGAACTACTGTCCCAATTTCTCAATATCTCTGTAACAAAACAAATGCATTGACGATATAGAAAAGAATACAATTTTTGAATTAAGCACAAAATCGCAAATTATGTGAAAGGACTGTATGATTACCACAGTCGCAAACCACCAGCGAGAGCGAGAGTTGGACAAATTGCATCATGAAGCTGCCCTTCCTGCTCACTAGTCACTGTAAGTTGTACTTGCCGGCAAAACCGCCTTTTTTATTTTATAGTATTACAGTTTCCATTATACAGATCTAGGAGAAAGTAGAATTGATTCTATTTTAAAAACAGAGTTTTATTCCATAATCATTCTATGCGTCACTGAAAATGTATGCATTGCCAAAGAACATACTGTATTAACTTAAAGCTTTTCATATAAAGAAAGCTAAATTACATAAAGATCACAAAGCTTAAATGGGAGCATACACATAGACACCAACAGTGCGACTGAGAAAAAGAAAAGGCTTTTACAGATATATATGCCTTTAACCCACTTGGTTTGAGGGATGACTGACTAACCATAAGGTTGAACAAGTGTAAAACCAGCGACAAGAAAACAAAGGGCTGCTACACTAAAGGTGGCAGTGTGGATGGAAGAATGGTGTTACCATGACAAACTGTGCCATATTTCTATCCTAGAAAACAGGTGGGAGGCAGGGATTAGGGATTGTCTTTATCCCAAATGCTAGCTATGAACTCAAATCTCAACAATAATGTTGAGAATTAAATCACTCTATCATCCCTACCATAAAATATTTCATCTAGGAATTCAGAACATGTATTTAGGACTTTCACTAATAAAAGTTTACCACACACATATAAATGAAACTCAGAACTCCTACAATTTACATACCATTACAATGCTGAACATTACTTTGAATTGAAAAAAATGTCCTGTTTAACACTATTTACAATTTGAAAGCTTTTACTATTCATCATAAATCCAGATTCATTTCTAAATGCTGTATTGTTCTATTCATGCTTTAAATAAGTACATTACATCTTTACTTTACTAAAGATTATACTGTGAAAGAATATTAACATGTAATTTTTTCTTTATAATGGGAAACTTTTCAGTCTTAGCTTTATTTTGCAGACCGAATAGAAATATATCTCAAACAATACTTAAATTGTTTAGTTTAGATGTTTTCTTATAACATTTTCGGAACAAATCCTCTGCTAGAATTTTTGAAATAACTATAAATATATATTTGCATGATTACTGTATATTAAACCTTTAGCTGAAATACAAGACACAAACAGATATGTCTAACTTCTATGAACTACTTTATTTTGTATATATATGTGTGTGTAGTGCAGCCAAAAGGTCATATCTGAGAACAGCTGAATAAAGAAGCTCATATAAGTAGAGGGAAACAGATAGCATGTTGTAACTTGTTGCGTAGGCCTTTCGAAGCCCAGGTGAAAACATCACAGTTTGTTTGAAAACATCTTGACAGGAAACATAAAACAAGCAACACTTCAAACATGGATGAGATTCCTAGCCAGGAAGGACAGAAGGTCTCTTCACATTTTAAAATTTTGGAGTCTTGCAGGATACATCGATCTCTCTCTTTTACACCATCTCAAAAGGTGAGATTTACGCATGCTATAAGGAATATAGACCCACCCACAAGACTTTGCAGTGGGAAAAAAAAACTATAGAAAGAAGAAAAGTAACTATCCTACATTTTTTGAGAGCCACAGACTCCTGTACAAATTGCACATAGCCTTTCATTTTAATAATACTGTTTTTTTTTACAAGCATGCCTTTTTAGTTGATCATATTCAAGTTAAATATGCTTCAGATATTTACCAGACCATGAAAGCCAGCACTGGCACAACAGGAATTGCATTTTACTGTGTATGCCAAGTCTGAAACTCTTTTCGGAAATTAGTGAGATCAAGTCAAACTCTAAATAATTTTGACATCCAGTCATTTGTCATCCATACACCTGCTGTCAGATCGCAAACTTCTATAGAGCCAACAGAAATTAATCAGCTCAGGATTCCCATAATATGGAATATAAAGTAAACCATATTTTACAGTCCAAAAGGCCATAATTTCATTATTTAAAACAAAAATATGCATAATTCAAATGATTAGTGATAAAGGATTAAATAAGAAGAGTAATAAAATTAAATTCTGTGTACTATTAATTTATTAGTAATATAAAGAACATTTCTAGATATTACATAATTTCCTGTAATACTGCCAAATTAAATAAAATACATTTTTTGGTAGCTTCTTAAAAATATTTTTGCTTCAAAATCTTATCTATGAATTTGCATTACCTCCAACATGGGGTTCCCATGTCATAAACCCCAAATTATCAAACTAAAAGTATCCAATTAATATTTATTTTTGAGAGATCTCTCTGTATATACAGTATGCCCCATATACTGTATACACCCTAAAACAGATAACAAGACAAAAAAGATGAGGAGAGAGCACAAGAGAGGATAGATTTCTACATCCAGTTTTCTATACAAATAACTCCCTAAAACATTCCTAAAAATACATGGCTACCTAATTTAATATTAGTTTCTCGCCAACAGAAAACAAGTGTCCCAACAGAAATGTGGAGCTAATAGTCTTGTTATGATGATCCAGCATATGTAAGTTCTGGAATTATTACCTGAGAGCACATGCGGGTTTCTTAAAATGGTCAAGTCTGTATGGACACCTGGCAAGCTCTAATACATGCTAAGCCTGAGGCAACACCTACCAAATTAATAAAATGCCCTACAGTCACAACAATAGCTAAGAATATCTTCCTGTAGACATGCCTTAACTATAGATATAGTAGCCTTAACTTTAGATGAAGGACAGCCTGTAATTCAGATCAACTCTGAATGCACAAAAAAGATAAATGTATTCAATACCATCCTACACCACAAGCAACTAGGAGAAAGCTGAAAACATACAGTATGTTCAAAAACATCATTGATAACATTATATAGTACAATGAAGATGGTGCAATTTTTATTAGCTTTGCATACTTCTTCACTAATACTACACTCTGAAGCGAAGAAGAACACATTACAAGTAAACATAACTATCAATTTAGTTTTGTTTATTAAAAATGTAACAAAAGAAAAGAAAGTTAATGAAGGAAGGGCAGAATTTTATTGTATGATAATCAATTGGGGGCATGAGCTAAAAACAAGCAGGATACTAGACAAAAGTTTATACTAATTTAAGAATAGCTGAAACTCTTATACCAAGAATGTGCTCCAGGTAATGACTAAGTACTGTACAATTTTTGTCTTATAGATTACAAATTTCTGTCAGCCTTTGAGCTAAGATAACCAATAAATACTGTAGGTATGTACACATTTTCTCTACTAAAATAATGCTACCATGATTTTGGAGCAATCTTTTAGAAGGTACCCTCATTCAGAATAGGTGATGGTAGAAATATGCATGTCAAGATTTTATCACGGGTCAAAGCTGAATTTGCTATAGTTCAGTAGTATGCAGTGGAATGCACTGTGGTCACTGACAGGCTTAATCATTAGAGTAATATACTTACTGTATAGTACCTTCATTACTGAAATGTTACTTAGTAACAATAAACTATAGGTTCTGTACTATATGTAAATATGAAAAATTAATGTTACATATTCTTTTATCTTGTTATCTTCTTCTGCACAATTCAAAGTATCAAATTAATCAGTATCCGATCCCTTAAAGTGCAATAAGGGTATATATTAGTGGAAGTCAGGAAACAGTTTTTAGTTTAGAAAAATCCAAATACTTGTTGTGCACAACATGATTGTTTTAACTCTTTTGCAAGATAGTTTGGAGAATTGGATCTTGGGGTTAATTACAAAAAGATAAGTGAAAGAAATCAAAGGTATTATGCACTACATCTGCCTCAGCTGTGAACCAGTAGCTACACAAATCACTCATATTGAAACCTCCAGTATACTGAGACTTCCTGTTTGTTTGTATGAAGCAGGGGAAGTGGAGATTTATGTTTTGAACCAGAGTAAAGACACAGACAACTAAGGAAAACAAAAAGGCTTATGCTCTCCAGACTTTTCAGCTCTCATCAAATACAGCCTTTGTGAGCAAAGGAGGGATAAAGTTTCTTTTTAAGTATTGAGGGCAGACAGATGCCATCTGC